ACAAAGAGCAAAAATATAAATGGTAATAATACATTCTAAATAAGTAGCAAAAAAGAGCAAGAGACAAGTGTCAAATAAGACATAATTATATAAATGTAAAATAAAATTAGGGCTGGGCACTTCAGCGCGTTAGTTTTGCGTTAACTAATTATTTTAATGCCGTTAATGCAGTTTTTATTATTTATTTATTTGTTTTTATTATAAATGTCTATTGCTCGCTGGCTGTTATTTTTGAAAAAGTCCACCGCAAGCGTTTCTTTAAGTTTGACGTCTTTTCCTTACACTTTTTGAGCCTCCCCGGGCCCGGTCATGATTTCAGTATTGACCAAAATAATCGTGCTGATGATTTTTTTCCCATAATCGAGCAGCTCTAATTCCAATATTTTTGCACACTTGTATCTGATGTTTACTGTTTTTAAAAGTCTGAAAACAGTTTGCAGTCGTCCAAAGTCCCGCAGAGCTTCCTAAATATTCACCGCGACGAGTTTATAAGCACTTTTCACAACTTTTGCCATGACGGTGAAGCGCCCAAATAGCATGCTAACACCTCACTTCCTGATTATTGGACATTAAAACGCTTTTAAATTAGACATAGACCGTACGCAGTAGATTTATTTTAACCTGCAGAGCTCGTTACACAATATATTAAATACGTTTTGCTCAAATATATGGGAAAATAGATACAGATACAGGTTTTTTATTTGTTAAATGTGTGATTAACTAGTTTCTTTTCTTTTTTTTCTGTTGTTTTTGTTTGGTCTCTATGGTCGTCTCTGGCTTTGATCTGCTCCCAGTCCTGGTTTAGATCTGGCTAAATCTGGTTTAATCCTGGCAACACCTGTTCTGTTTTGAAGCCTCTTTGTAGTCCTGGTTTAGTCCTGGTTTGGCCCTGGTTTAGTCCTTGTTCAGTTCTAGTTTAGTCCTGGTTTAGTCCTGTTTTAGACCTGGTTTAGTCCTGGTTTAGTCCTTGTTAAGCCCTGTTTTAGTCCTTGTTCAGTCCTAGTTTAGACCTGGTTTAGTCCTGTTTTAGACCTGGTTAATCCTGGTTCAGTCCTGCTTCAGTCTTTGTTTAGTCCTTGTTTAGTCCTGGTTTAGTCCTAGTTTAGTCCTGGTTCAGTCCTGGTTCAGTCCTGCTTCAGTCCTTGTTTAGTTCTGGTTTAGTCCTGGTTTAGACCTGGTTTAATCCTGGTTTAAAACCAGGTTTAGTCCTGGTTTAGTCCTGCTTCAGTCCTTGTTTAGTCCTGGTTTAGTTCTGGTTTAGTCCTGGTTTAGACCTGGTTCAGTCCTGGTTTAGTCCTAGTTTAGTCCAGTTTTAGTCCAGTTTTAGTCCAGTTTTTTTAGTCCTGGTTTAGTCCTGGTTTAGTCCTGGTTTAGACCTGGTTTAGTCCTGGTTTAGTCCTGGTTTAGTCCTAGTTTAGTCCTGGTTTGGTCCTGGTTTAGTCCTAGTTTAGTCCTGGTTTAGACATGGTTTAGTCCTGGTTTAGTCCTGGTTTAGTCCTGGTTTTAGTCCTGGTTTGGTCCTGGTTTAGTCCTAGTTTAGTCCTGGTTTAGTCCTGGTTTAGACCTGGTTTAATCCTGCTTTAGTCCTGGTTTTAGTCCTGATTTAGTCCTGGTTTAGTCCTGGTTTAGTCCTGGTTTAGTTTAGTCCTGTTTAGTCCTGGTTTAGTCCTGGTTTAGTCCTGGTTTAGTCCTGGTTTAGTCCTAGTTTTAGTCCTGGTTTAGACCTGGTTTAGTCCTGGTTTGGTCCTGGTTTAGTCCTAGTTTAGTCCTGGTTTGGTCCTGGTTTAGTCCTAGTTTAGTCCTGGTTTAGACCTGGTTTAGTCCTGGTTTAGTCCTGGTTTAGTCCTAGTTTAGTCCTGGTTTGGTCCTGGTTTAGTCCTAGTTTTAGTCCTGGTTTAGTCCTGGTTTAGTCCTGGTTTAGTCCTGGTTTAGTCCTGTTTAGTCCTGGTTTAGTCCTGGTTTAGTCCTGGTTTAGTCCTGGTTTAGTCCTGGTTTAGTCCTGGTTTAGTCCTGGTTTAGTCCTGGTTTAGTCCTGGTTTAGACCTGGTTTAGTCCTGGTTTAGTCCTGATTTAGTCCTGGTTTAGTCCTGGTTTAGTCCTGATTTAGTCCTGGTTTAGTCCTGGTTTAGTCCTGATTTAGTCTCTGCTTACAGTGTCTTAAACGCTCCTCTCGATGTCACATGACCAAAACAACAGAACAGGGGGAAGTGCAGAATCTCACCACAACATGAGACTTAAAGGAGCCGGAGCCTCGTATCTGTGGTTTTACATGATGTGTGTCAGATGCCCTCCCAGCCTCTGTACCCCTGTGTGTCAGATGCCCTCCCAGCCTCTGTACCCCTGTGTGTCAGATGCCCTCCCAGCCTCTGTACCCCTGTGTGTCAGATGCCCTCCCAGCCTCTGTACCCCTGTGTGTCAGATGCCCTCCCAGCCTCCTGTCTCCCAGTTTGACAGTTCAACACAATTGTCATAGTTTGTGTTTTGTTACTGATTCCAAAACCACAATTATAATAAAACACTTTTTCTTTAGACAATAGAATGTGATTTTCAATATTTAATGGTTGTACTTTCTTTTCTATTCACATGTGGTTTTATATCTGTGTAATCCCTCAGTTGATCCAGGTCTAAACCAGGACTAAACCAGGACTAAACCAGGACTAAACCAGGTCTAAACCAGGTCTAAACCAGGTCTAAACCAGGACTAAACCAGGACTAAACCAGGTCTAAACTAGGACTAAACCAGGTCTAAACCAGGACTAAACCAGGACTAAACCAGGACTAAACTAGGACTAAACCAGGTCTAAACCAGGACTAAACCAGGACTAAACCAGGACTAAACAAGGACTAAACCAGGACTAAACCAGGTCTAAACAAGGACTAAACCAGGTCTAAACCAGGACTAAACCAGGACTAAACCAGGACTAAACTAAGACTAAACCAGGTCTAAACTAAACAGGTCTAAACCAGGACTAAACAGGACTAAACAGGACTGAACCAGGACTAAACCAGGACTAAACTAAGGACTAAACCAGGTCTAAACCAGGTCTAAACCAGGTCTAAACCAGGACTAAACCAGGACTAAACCAGGACTAAACCAGGTCCTAAACCAGGACTAAACCAGGTCTAAATCTAAACCAGGACTAAACCAGGTCTAAACTAGGACTAAACCAGGTCTAAACCAGGACTAAACCAGGACTAAACCAGGTCTAAACCAGGTCTAAACCAGGACTAAACCAGGACTAAACCAGGACTAAACTAGGTCTTAACCAGTCTGCACTTCGCCCGTGGTGTTGTTTTTGTCATGTGACATTGGGGGAGGACATTTTATGACACTTAAGCAGAGGTTAAACCAGGACTGAACCGGGACTAAACAAGGACTGAACCAGGACTAAACCAGTGGGAAGAAAAAAACTTATATTAACCCACTCTTGTTCATTAGATATTAAAGATTATTATACATTAGATATATTAAATATTTACATACAAAGGTTAATTTCTGTCCTGTGAATGGGACTTTCTTTTTTAGTATTGATTAGTTTTTTGATAGTAGAAGCTCGTGGTGCCGCAGCGCCCAGGTCGTGTTGTGTAGGCGCCCTCTTGTGGACGTTGTTACATAATTTCTTTCTGGAGGAAAATAAAACTTTTATGAACGTCTTTAGAACGATCTTGAGCTGAATCAGAACAAGTATAAGAGAGACTAGTGTACGCCCATGGACCTGGTTTAGACCTGGTTTAGACCTGGTTTAGACCTGGTTTAGACCTGGTTTAGACCTGGTTTAGACCTGGACGACTAAGGGATTACACATATACACGACCACATGCACTGTGTAACTTTTCTGGTGGAGGGTCTGATTTTTTTTTTCTTGTCTCCATGTTGTTACTCTGTTTGGAATGTTCCGGTATGGCTTTAATCGTTTCAGTGTTAGATTTAGTGAGTAAAATATATATTTTTTTTTTATAGACTTAAATACTTGCTTTTTTTTTTTTCTGTGAGTGGACTCGCCTCTCCGCAGGTCTGACATATAACTTGGCTCTACGGCAGACATGTCAAACTCAAATTTGGCCCGCGATATAATATCAAACCTGTATTAGAGCTGCCCGCCTACAGATCGACTATAGACACATTATTTATTGAAATTTTGTTCATATTTTATATTCTGGTTGTTCTGGATTCAATGTTTAAGCAAAACTATTATTAAACATTTACTTTAATAAGAAAAGGTTTAACATTATATATCTCAAAAGAAGAGAAAACATGCAGATGTTGTTCAAATTTTTCAATAAATATTTAGTTTGTCCCACGACTTAGTCCCAGTTTTTTTTAATATTGGCCTCTGTGAATTTGAGTTTGTCACTCCTGCTCTACAGTGTCACCTGTCGTCTCCATAGAGATAAATACGTGTAATGCCATACTGTGGAACATTCCAGGCAACATCTCCATAGAGAGCAGCTGTTTTCTGGTTTGTGTTCTAATGTTGTTTCCTCTTCACAAACAGACCTGCAGTTGTGTTTTGTTTCATTCACACATGTTTAACACACAAACCCTGCACATTTAGTTCTTCTCTCAAAAGGGACAAAAAACACTTTGTTCCACCTTGTGATGTCATGTGGTAATACAGGAAGTGCTCCACTGTGTTTTTAAACTTTGAAATTGTGATAATTTCAGTCCTGGAATCGCAGATCTCTACTGAACAAAAGGTAAAAGGAGCTGTGAACTTGAAAACTACCACTTCATGACATCACAAGGTGGAAAAGTGCATTTTGAGGTTTGGAGATGTAGACAGATTAAACTGAAATACAATAAAGAGTTACTCAAACATGTGTGAATGAAACAAAACACAACTCCAGGTCTGTTTTTGAGACAGTAACTACATTTTAACTCTTCTTAAATCTCACAAAAGTCAAATTTTTCATATCTTTAATGTTGAAAATCACATTCTGTATCGTGACAACTCTATGAATAACTAATTTAAATGTCGTTGTTGTTTGTTTTGTTGCAGGTGGACATTATGCAGATGTGCGTGGTGGAGATGGTGAACAGACCCGGGAAACCTCTGTTCCATCTGGAGCATTACATCGAAGGAAAATACATCAAATACAACTCAAACTCCGGGTTTGTGAGAGACGACAACATCAGGCTCACTCCACAGGTCATTTTGTGTAGTTGATCTGGTTTGTAATAGTTTGAGAGATTAAAAAAAAAACAATTGAGACATGGAAAATTTGAAAATAACATGTATAATAGTTTATAATAAAAACTAGGGCCTGACCGATATATTGGTTGGCCGATATTATCAATATTACCTGCTATTTATTGGGAGCCATGTTTTCTCTTTCTCTCACTTTTTTCTCTTTATGCCACGTGCAGACTCGTGGGAGTTTGACAGCGGCAGCAGCTGAAAACGAAACTTTCATAAATATGCGTGTGCATAGGAGAGAAAAAACGTGCATGTTTGGCCGAGACCGAGTCCCGACAAGTTTAAAAAACTTGGGTTTGGCTCTGGTGGATTTTAAATTGGGTTTATTTAGGCAACATTTATTATTGTTCTGACTCTTTATGTCATATTTACAGACAGTAGGTTGGACTAATGGCATTTTTGCATCACATTCTAGACACTAGTGATGGGGATTCCAGTTCTTTTTAGAGAACCGGCTCTTTTGGCTCGGCTCACTAAAAGCAGCTGGCTCTTTCGGCTCCCAAGCGACATTCACAGCTCATTTACATATCAATGCTGGTCCAGTAACAAATATACGGCCAATATAGTCACTTTACAATAGACCAATAGAAAACAGCCTGTTTATGTGTGGGAGCTACAGCAGCTAATCACTAACCAATGAGAACGAACCAAAACTAGCTTCAAAGTCGACATATTTCCAACACTCACCGGCTCACACAGGCTCCTCCCACATCACAAGTCTGCACTAATAAATGTCCTTTTAATCCAGACTCAAACCGATTGTCCGTAAAAAGAAAATAATCTCAGTGTTCCACGCATGGATCTATGTCTGCGAGTGCAAACAAACACACGTGAGTGACGTGACTCTGTGGTGTGTTCAGGGACACACTCAGACAAATGACTCCGCAGATAAATACTGATGCGGAGCCACACATTAGGATGTTTATTTGTCTGTAAATTGGATAAAATGAACATAATGTAGAGAGTCTAAGCTTTATAACGAAGTATAACATGCCCACATGAAATATCGCCAAGATTTTCAGCCGATCGCCGATATGTTTCCAGCTGCCCATATCAGCCGGTAATATCGGCCAACCAATATATCGGTCGGGCCCTAAAATAAACTTTAAATTAAATATTAGAAATAGAGGTCAAAATCTGTTTTTTTGTTTGACCCTGAAACGGAAAAATGAAATAACGAACTTTTCCCATTTTATTGTTTTTTATTCTTAATTGAAATTAAAAAGAACAAATGGTACACGGACCATTTTGTTATTTAATTCCATGTCGTCTTATTCAGTGTAAAAGCTGCTAAACCTCGTGGTGGAAATCTTCCCTCCCCTTTCACCCCGTGACCTTTCACCTCGGTTAGAGTAGTTTAGTGTGTTCCTTAATGGTTTTTACTTTGGTAACTTTGTGACTGGGTAACTCGTAACTTGCTGGTGCTTTGATTTGTAAAGAGCTGCAGTCCTGTTATTTTCACAGGTCACTCTGGTCTTGAGTCAGTGGAGCTTGTGTCACTCCTATCAGTCCCTAAAACATTTTCTGCGAACAATCTGTTACTTATATCGTCTGAAACGACTTGTGACTTGATTATATTGTTGATTATTGACCCAGTTTTATGTCTGTCTGTCCTTGAATGTCTGGATTTGGTTTAGACTTCTACAAACATGTTCTGAAATGATTGGGATTCTTGTATTAGTTTAGCAGATTTCAGTCTTCTCTCAAAGATTGTAACACAATAGAATCTAGACCAGTGGTCACCAACCTTTTTCAGACAAAGATCTACATGTTTGGTCTGAGGAAAGAGCAAGATCTACCAACATGAACGTAAATAACAACAAACGTGATCATGTTCATAGTTCTAGACAGCTTTATTTTTGCATTCTTACTAAAGGAACACTCATTACAGAATGGGGACTAAAACACTCTCTGCAAGAAAAAAAAGTGCAACTGCAATACAAACAAAATGCAAACCAAATGCAGTGAAAGCAACCAAAATAGTGCAAATTTGACCACTAAACAGCATTAACAGTATATATGAGAGAAGTTCTATTATTATCAAATTCAGGGTGATGGCTGAGTCTGAATTTCCTTGGATAATGTTTTGAAGTTTGGTTTATAGTTGCAGACAGCTAAACTGAGACAATCTGTGAGGTGCCTATCAGTCAGACTGTTTCTGTGCTTGGATTTGATGATTTTCATTTGTGAAAAGGCCACCTCACGCAGATAAGTTAAATCAAAGTAAGCGCTCACTTTCAATGCACTTCTAGTATCACAAATTGTTGAATTAAGCTGGAGATCTACCGGGGACATGGCAAAGATCCAGCTGTTGATCGCGATCTACAGGTTGGTGACCACTGATCTAGACTATGCCTCATGTAAATTCTTATGTTTTTTTTTTTTTCTTTTCCAGGCTTTCAGTCACTTCACGTTTGAGCGGTCCGGTCACCAGCTCATCGTGGTCGACATCCAGGGAGTGGGAGACTTGTACACAGACCCACAGATCCACACAGAGAAGGGGACCGACTTCGGAGACGGAAACTTGGGTATGAAAATTATTACTGTTACAAATACTGACAGTTATTTTAGACTGTTACATATCTTGTGTAATTGAGTTTTAAATAAGGTGTAATGTTGCAGGCGTGCGAGGGATGGCGCTTTTCTTCCACTCTCATCTGTGTAATAAGATCTGTAAGAGTATGGGACTCACGCCCTTTGACATTTCACCGGCTGAGAAAGCCCAGCTCGACTGCACCAACAAACTCCTGGTCAGTACGAACTCACTGTTATTTGACATAACTGGAGTTTTTACAGAGAAGAATGATGTTTTTTTTTTTCGGACTATTAAGTCATACCAGCCAAAAAAATGCATAATGAAGGAGAAAAAACATGTAAGTCACGCTTTTTTGGGGAAATATATTTTTTGAAATCAGCAGGAACCGACATTTCCTGTTGAAAGTCAAGTTCTAGTAACAACAACAGAAGAGAGAACAACAGACTGTTAACGTCACATATGAACAGTTCTTCAGATAAACTATAACATCAACAACAGAACAGAACAAGTTTAACAAACTCTCCATCTCACTCCAAATCACTAAATCCATTCAATTCTTCATCCTCGGTGTCACTTCTGAACAACTCCTCGACCTCCGGAGGGAAACAGAGCGTCGCTTCCTCTTCTGCATCAGTTCCAGTTAGAATTATTCTGGTCTTTCTGAATCCCGACAGGATGGTTTCGGTGTCACTGAAGTCCAGGCTTTGTCAGGGCAGCGCAAAAAAAGATTGGTATCGGCCGATTCTGAAAACGATGCATCACAATCCGTGTGTCATTCCTTCATTTGTTTTTCAATATAAAACCAGAAATATGAAAATGAAAAAAACAACTATTTTCTTCATTATTTGTCTCCAAAACCAAAATGAAAAAACAGTTAATTATTTGTTTTTTTCAGTTTTCGATTTTGTGTTTAAATGAAAAATGGAAAAAACGGATAATGACCGTTTCCCATTTACGTGACTCCTGTGACTGCAATGCCGGACTTTTGCACTGCATACGGACTGAACCAGGACTAATCCAGGTCCAGGACCAGAGCGGGACCAAGACCGAGACCAGACCGAGACCAGACCGTGGGCTCTGAGCCTCTGGTCTCGGGTCTCAGTCCTGGTCTGGTCCCGGCCTGGTCTGGTCCCGGCCTGGTCCTTGTCTGGTCTCGGTCTCAGTCCCGCTCTGGTCCCGGTCTGGTCTCAGTCTCGGTCTGGTCCTGGCCTCAGTTCTGATCTCAGTCCCGGTCTGGTCTCGGTCTGGTCCCGGACCTGGATCAATCCTGGTTCAGTCCGTATGCAGCGCAAAAGTCCGGCATCGCAGTCACGGAAATCACGTAAACGGGAAATGGTCATTATTCGTTTTTTTCCATTTTTCATTTAAACACAGAATTGAAAGCTGAAAAAACTAATCGTTATCCTTTTTTTTTTTTCATTTTGGTTTTAGAGACAAATAATGAAGAAAATTGTTGTTTTTTCGTTTTCTTATTTTTGGTTTTATATTGAAAAACTAATGAACGAATGACACACAGATTCATCACCCGTCCCTCAAAACAGCCATCGTGATTTTGTCCATGTATTGATTCTTTTCTTCTTCTCTCTTTCTCTTTCTCTCGCAGAAGTCGGCAGAGACGATGCTCCGCGGCTGTGAGGAGTTCTGCGGCTCTCCTCGCGTCCGGACCTTCTCCTCGGGTCGGGCTCCTCCTCTCCTCTCGCGTCTTTCTGAAACTTCCTCCGTCGACGAAAACATGAGCGACTCCGACTCCATCCCGTGTTCACCTCTGGCTCTGCCCCAGTGCATCGGCCGCTCCCCCATCGGTCAGTCTCGCCTCTAAATGCTTTTCAGAACTGCAGCTAAACTTTATTTTTTAGTCGATTCGTTTTCAAACTTTTCTGGATCAAACTATTCAATGACACTCCAACCTTCTAAAACACGTCCAAATGGCACCTTTTAGTACAAAAATGTGCTAGAAAATGCCGCAAATAAGGTTAAAATTGTCTTGAAAACTGTGTGATTTAACAAGATGCAGGAGTGAAATCAGAACATACATTAAAGACGCACTGTGTAACTTTTCTGGTGCAGGTCTGCCATCTTCTTGTCTCCATAATGATTTGATTTTGTTTCGCTTGGAATCTAGAAACGTATCCATCTCTCATTAACTCAATAACATGGGTTTTTATTGGCCTTAAAGACTTTCTTGCACTCTTATTGTGAGTGGGCTCGCCTCTGCACAGATCTGACTTGTAACTTTTGCCCTGTGGTGTCAAGAGAAGCAGGTGACAGACCCTACACCGGAAAAGTTACACCTTTAATTTGCGTCTTTAAAGCTCTAGTTGAATATCAGTGTGCAGCAGCAGGAGCGCACGATTACAGAAAAAAATGTATGTAATTATTAAAAGAACGTGTATTAAATCTGGGTGTAATGGTGCATGTGTTCGTGCCAACCATTTGCGTACGAGGCATTTGGTTCGGTGCTCGAGTGAGTTTGCACAATTGGCAGCTACAGAAGGATCGGCTCTTTAATATTCTCGAGGGAACACGTCGGTGATTGGGGTGACAGTGTTTCCCGCGGCGCTTTATAGTTAGAGCAGCCGCCTTGACAACAGTTGAATCCTCGCAAAACTACGGTCGTCGTGATGCGGTTCTCACTTTCACTTTTTGGCCGGCACGGATTTTCCGCCCCCCATTTGTGACTGCAGCAGATCTGCTCTTACTGCAGACAGTGTGGACAAGTTGTTTTTTCTGTCCAAAAATATGAAGCTTGAGTAAAACTTCATGCTGGAACTGTTAGTGCTGCACTTTACTTTTGTTTAAGAATTTCTTTTTTATAACACGGGAGTCAAACTCAAATTCACAGAGGCCAAAATTAAAAACTGGGACTAAGTCGTGGGCCAAACTAAATATTTATTGAAAAATTTCAACAACATCTGCATGTTTTCTCTTCTTTCGAGATATGTAATATAAAAAAAAAGTCTTATTAAAATAAATGTTTAATAATAGTTTTGCTTAAACACTGAATCCAGAACAAACAAAATATAAAATAACAACAACAAATTTATATTATATATTTTAATATTTTATTTAATTTTATATATATTTATAATATTTTAAATAATGTCTCTATAGTCTATCTGTAGCTGGCTGCCAGCTCAAATACATATGTGATATGATCTCATGGGCCAAATATAATTATATCGCAGGCCAAATTCAGCCCCTGGGCCTGAGTTTGGCCTGTCTGTTTTATAATATTTCAAACATTTGTTGCTTATTAAGAATATTTGATTTAACTTATTAGTATGACCAAGCAGCACTTTGCATTTATTTTATTTTCCCGTTTGAATAATGTTAAAACAAATTGTTGGTTTAATTAAAACACAAATAAAAAACAAGCAAATGGTTTTGTATTTTGTTTCTAAACTGAACCAAAAATAAACCAAACCGTGACATCAAAACCAAAGTACAGTACAAAGAACAGTGTTTTTTGTGAACCATTACACCCCAGAATTAAAACATTCAGACATATAATAATAATAATAATAATAATAATAATAATAATAATATAATAATAATAATAATAATAATAATAATAATAATACAAATAAATAATAAAATACAAATAAATAATAAAAATAAATAATAATATAAATAATAATAAAAAAATAATAATAATAATAAAAAACATGGATCTTTAAATAGTTGTTGCTTTCTTTTTTGGTTCACAGGTTTGTGTGTTTGCGTACAACGTTCCAAAATGTCAAATTCATTATTTAAATCCATGTTTGAATCACCTTGAAAACGAAACTGGTTGAAAATCAAGACTCTGGTCAAATTATTTTTCGTGTTGTATGTTGAGAAAAGCATTTTAAAAGTTACTCTGTGGAACTGATTTGTGTTTTGTCCACTTCATGTCCTAACCATAAGTTGTTCTTCTCTTTCAGGTATAACTTTTACACCTTTGGAGCATGAAAAATTCAACAACAACGCAGGAGAGCACCGGGTGAGGAAAATAACCCAGAAAGTCCCAGTGTTTCTCAAATTTCCAGATCAATATTTTAAAAAGTCATCAAAATATCTGTTATAACTCTCATCCCGCTCAGTTCCAGAGTTACAATAATACTCTTTTGTTTTCGTTGCTCGCTCGAATCTGCCCCCTAGAGACAAAATATTGGAAAACAGATTAGAACATGTTTTCACGACCTCTTATCGTACCATAGACAAACATACACGGACTCCCTGTCAATAAACAAACGCAGCCACAGGGTCTGGTCAAATAAACGAGACGGTGCAGTGGATTATCGAGAGGAAATGTTACGATTTTGTCCACGGAGAAAAGTGGAAAGTTCAAATTAAAGTTGTATTATCAGCCTTCTTGGTCATTTTAAAGCTGCGTTGTGTAACTTTTCTGGTGGAGGCTCCGTTAAATGCTTGTCTATCTTCATGGAGACCAAACCAGACCAAGTTACAGGTCAGATCTGCGGAGAGGCGGCCCCGCTCACAGTCAGAATGTTGTTTTTCTAGGTATTTTTGAGCTGTAAAATCACCTGTAATTGAATAAATGTAAAGTAGAGCTTTTTAAAGTCACACTGTGGAACATTCCGGACAAAATAATAACATCTCCATGGAGAAAAGCAGGTGATCCGACCCTCCAACAGAAAAATTACACAGTGTAGCTTTAATGTTCCATGGCTCAAGATGGTATGGACCAGTGAAATCAGTTTTTGGCCGAATTCCTGTTGATCGGACGCTTGGATGTAATAAAATAACTGGACGGGTGTTGCTGCTTGTAGTTGTCTCCCGTTGTCGTAGTGACACTCACTGGCACTACAGCGCAAAAAAGTTCCTGGGCCGAGAAAGGATTTTTCTCATAGAGCGCAACGTAATCACAAACTGCTCATGTTAGACTGACAGGGACCTATAAACTTTCAGAAATGTCAGAGCTCAAAAATCCTTCTGTTGTCTTAAAAACAGCTTTTTAATTGTCAGTTCGGCTCTTCTCCGCTCTGGCTCCTCTCACTCTGATTGGTCAAAGCGATCACGTGATACACGAAAAGAGCAGTACTGCGCATGGTTAATGGGCAGGGAGCCACCGGAAGTACCTCGCCACTAGGGGTGTGTAAAAATATTGAACTCGTTTAATCGTTTAATGTGATGATACAGTATCGATATCGGGAACTGCTGTATCGATATATTGTCAAGAGTATTTATCTTAATATATTGTACTTATTTTACCATATTTTTCGGATCATAAGGCGCATTAAGCGAAACAAACGAACGACCGACACTTGAGACCGATCCTTAGTCCAGGCGTCCACGATCCATCGGCAGATCGTGGTGTAATTCGCACGACATTTCCTCCCTGTCTTGTGTATTATGAATGTGAATGTTTCCTACGAGGACGACTCAAATATACATCGGGTAATAATGTGTTTATATTAAAGTTATGTGTTAATATTATGTTAAATAATGTGTTCAGTGCAGCTTTGAGCACATTTGTTTACGTTTTACAGAAACGATACTTAAAACCACATGGCTCATTTACATAAACTATAAGATCTGTAAATTGGGATTTACTCCACGAGGCTCCTGACTGCAGTATCCGTAATGCTCCGACAATTCATCAAGTGGTGTGGCTTTGTAGTTTACCAAAAGTCTTACTAAAACATTTTGACAGATTTTTGAGCTTCGTGTACCACATAAAATCGGTTCAAGGTCAGTAAAGACAATCAGAATTTATACATAAGGCACACTGTCCGTTTTTGAGAACATTAACGGATTTTAAGTGCGCCTTATAGTCTGAAAAATATGGTAATTATTTGATATATTTTAGTTATTTAAATTATTTCATATATTTGACTTATTTTAATGATTTGATACATTTTACTTGTTTTAGTTGTTTTGTTACAGCGCTGCAGTTTTGTTGTTTGTTCAGAAGATAGAAACATTTCTGCTTCTGGCCTAAATGACTGAAGTGTTGATTTTCTGTGCAGGATTCGGAGAGTGGAGGAGACAGTGGATATCCGAGTGAGAGGAGGAGCGAAGGAGACCCCAATGACCAGGTAGACGGGGTACGCACCAAAACACAAGAGTATCATTAGAATTTATTTTATTTATTTATGTATTTATTTATTTTTCCGAATTGAAGTCATGTATATTTCCATAGGTGATTGGCCTTTTCTAAAACAGATTATGTCCCATTCATGTCCCACCATAAACAACTTTTACATTACACTATTTATACAGTATTTTAACTTTGTGTGGCAGGGCTTTGGGTGTTTTAAAGGTCCGATATTACACAAAATGAACTCTTGTGAGCTTTAAAGGTTGTATAGAGGATTTTCCAAGGAACGACAAATCCAGCGACTGTTTGTCCTTTTTCAAATGTTGCGCATGTGTGAAACCACCCCCTCCCCTACAGCTCCTACGTAGAAACACCTCCACCCCTCCTCCTTACGCCAGAAACAGGTTTGTTTACAGCCGGTGCACATGACTTGTAAACAACTAACTACAGTGTTCATTAGACAAGACGGAGAAGTGAAGAAGTGAGGAGCAGGGGGAGTGGGTGCGTGGACATTTCGTTCACGGACGAGAAGTGAGGAGCAGGGAGAAGAGCGGAGCAGGGAGCGAGGAGAGGAGAGAGGAGAGGGGAGCGGTGCGCGGAGATTCCGTACCCGGAGAAGTGAGGAGCAGGGGGAAGAGCGGATCGGGCAGCGGGGACAGGAGCAGGAAAGGGGTGCAGAGAAGAGTGCGCGGAGATTCCGTGCGAATGAACTAGCTACAACACGCAGCAGCAAGCGGACTCTTTCTTTGCCTTGAAAATTACGTTTTCAGACATAGGATATCGCTTTCGTGTCCTGAAAAACGTTTGTCTAGCTCTTGGAAATAAAGTACGTTTTCATAATAAGCAGAAGTTTCCTGTCCAGGAGTAATTTGTGGACCAGTGCTTCAGTCTTTAGACTCTGCGTCTGCTTCAGTCGCGCCATCGCTGGAATGAATCTACAAGAATCACCTTAGTTTGGCTTCGCTGCTTTTCCCCTTGTCTTCTTCTTTCAGCGACCTCAAAAACTGACTTTCTTTTGCGGCGAACTGCTCCTGGATTCTTGTCGCCATCGCAACAAACTTTGTGTGAACTGTGAGGAAGATATAGGTAAAAAAAAGCCGCTAAGAACTGTTGCGTTGGTGGAGTAAACAGCGTCTGTGCGTCTTGCGTCTGTGGACTGTGTGACAGACGTACGTAAACCACGTACCGGCGGCGCGCAGGCAAGTCAGTTACGCTAGAAACGTAGGGAGATTGATTGACAGCCTG